GGGGATGCTGTCCGACCATTCCTCAGCTTGATGTTTACTTGACTTTCAATAAAGAGCTGTTGTTTACTGAAGCCTTTTGTGCCTCTTTTACCGGATCTAACACTGGCGACGAGGATGGGATTAGAAGGCAATTAGGCAAACAAAGAGAGGAAGCCTTGCAAACAAAAAGAGTGAAGCCTTGCAAGTACATCCAGCCCGGTGCATTCCGCGAGGCATCGAGCTAGCCATCGCTGAACACCCAGAGAGAATCATAATGGCCATGCATGCCCCACCAACTTTGCACAGTCCAGCTACAGAACACTGGGAATCGTACATACTATGATTCGAGTGTTTCCTGGAAGCGAACGACCTCACGGGCATTTTAGAAGCCCGGAAAAAGAATCTGTTCTTAGGATATTGTGGCTGGGAAGTTTTTGAGATAGCAAAAAATCTTTCAGACCAACCCCTCTACAAGCAGTATCCTGGTCTGCACTACAACAAACGCTGAAGACCCACTACACGCCAAAGCCATCTAAGTATGTTCACTGGTATCAGTTCAATATACAGAACCAGAAGGAGGGCAAATCAACCAATGAATATGTGGTGGCTCTCCAAAAAGCTGCAGCCCACTGTGTGTCCCGTGAACTAGATGATTTAATTCTAGATTGCATAAGCTTTCGGGGTGCGAGATTTCAATCTGCAGAGAAGGCTCCTGGCAAGATCCAACTTCTCTCTGCAGATCGCACTAGATGAAGCAAGAGCATCTGAGTCCGCAACCCAATCAGTGGAGACCCTCTAGCGCCACAGCGCACCTCCAGACATGCGGAAAAGTACCTGGGTCCACCACGAGACCACAGAGCCCGAGAGTTCTGAGAGCGAGGAGGAAGACAGCTACCGCATGCGCAGTAGCCGAACAAAGCCGGCACAGAAATTCAATTCCCAAAATTCGCCCTGCGCCAGCTGTAGAGGAGACCATGTCCAATCGTCCTGCCATTTCCGCAACACCATTGCCAGTGATGCGAGCAGAAAGGTCACATCGCCAAGGTGTGCCACAGCAAAAAAGCTGAAAGTCACTGTCCTCATTGAGGACTCTCCAGGCGAAATGAAGATCGACACTGGGTCGTCACTGACCATAATCTCATGGTCCGTCCTGAAGCAAATGATCCCCAAGATACAAAAGAGACACCTAAGAAGCCCCGACGCCGCCTACGTGACTACCAGGGGAACCAGGTCCCCATCGTGGGCCAAGGCACCTTCCGGGTAAGCCACAAGAAATTCTGCAAAAAACTCCCCGTGACGGTGGTCAGAGACGACCTTCAGAGTCTGCTAGGGCTTGATTGGTTCCAAGCTCTGGGAATGGAAGTTACCGGAGTCAACTCCGTGGAGGAGGACGACGCTGAAGCTGCCACTGAAGCCGCCGCTGAAGCCATTTTTAAGGAGTTCGAGGACGTCTTCGGCATTGGTCTGGTTGAGTACAAAGGAACCCCCATTTCCTTTAGCTTAGACCCCACAATAACCCCAATCAGGCTTAAGCCCAGGAGAGTACCTTTCGCTCTCCGACCAAAAATCGCCAAGAAATTGATAAGCTCGTGAGCAAGGGCATTTTAGAACCAGTCAATCATGCACGTTGGGAGACGCCAATTGTGACACCTGTCAAACCTGACGGGTCTGTACGCATCTACGCAGACTATAAATGTACAATTAACAAAGCGCTTACCTGTACCTGTTGTACAACACCTATTGCATTCCCTCGGTCCGGGAAAAATCTTTGCAAAATTAGATATGGCACAGGCATACCAACAATTGCCAGTATATGGCGCTACCGTGGAGGCCCAAACCATTGTGATGCACAGGGGTGCATTCAAATGCAACCGCCTGCAATTCAGTGTTAGTATCACCCCCGGACTGTTCCAAAGCACAATGGAATGACTTTTGCAGGGGTTCCAGGAGTCATCCCCTATTTCGACGACATCTTGGTATCGGCCGCAAATGAAGCGCAACTTTTAAAATGTGTATGAACAGTTTTGGCTAGAATCAGAGACAGGGGCCTCCGCCTTAAAAAAAAAAATGTAAAATCAATGTACCAAAACTCGAATTTCTAGGGTACATGATTGATGGGTCTGGAATTCACCCAACCTCACAAAAAATAAAAGCCATTAAGGAAGCCCCCACACCTCGCAATCAGACCGAGCTACAGGCATTCCTCGGGCTCCTTAACTTCTACAGCATCTTTCTCAAACAGAAACGACAGTTGCTGAACCACTACATTGACTCCTAGCAAAGAACACAAAGTGGTCCTGGGGCAAAACCGAGGCCCCCGCATTCGCCGCCGTAAAAAGACTATAAACAGCAGACTCGTTCGTAGTTCAATACAGCCAAACCCTGCCTTTGGTGTCGGTGCAGTCCTCAGCCACTGCATGCCAAACGGTGCCGAAGCCCCCATTGCATTTTACTCCAGGACATTATCCGCCGCCGAGCGGAACTACAGCCAACTGGACCGCAAGTCTTTGGTTGCAGTTGCCAGAGTAAAAAGATTCCACGAGTATTCGGGTCCTCATTTTACCCACCTTGGAAGGATGGAAGGCTGAGTCAACCTTGAGCCGGTGAGATTTGAACAGCCGAACTGCAGAACTGCAGTCAGCTGANATCTATCTATCTATCTATCAGCTATCTACCTATCATCTATCTATCATATCATCTTTCCATCTCATCTCACACTCTCATTTATATATCATTTACCATCTCTGTCTGTCTGTCTTTCTATCCATCCATCCATCCAGCCAGCCAGCCAGCCAGCTACCTAGCTATCCTAATCTAATCTAATATATCACATTTCCCCCTCTCTCCCCCTTCTCTTTCTCTTTCTCTCCCTCCCTCCCTCTCTCATAACTATATATCATTTACCATCTCTATAACCATTTCATCTTTCTATCTATTAGTCTAATATTCCTTTTGGATGCATTCTTGTTCAGACTGCATAGATTGGCCTATTGCCATTATTAGAATTTCAGTGTTTACATTCACTGGAAAAATATGCCTCAATCATTAGCCAGTAGACTAATTTATAAAAAGCAGACATTAATAGATGTACTTCTTCAAGATACATAAACAGGGATTTTCTTATGTAGAAGTGATGGAAAAATATATTTCCTAACTTGTCACATTCTGTCTGCCTCTATGAGCTAAACTGTCCCCCAGAACCTTTTGTTTTTATGCAGAAATATTTGTCCATTTAAGTAAGCCATGCAATTCAATAAAACTTGGGGTGGGGTGGGGGAAAGATAAAATGAGAAATTCATTCCAGCCAAACTTTCGTATCCAATTCACACCTCTTTTGTGAAATAGCATGCAAAAGCAGCACGCAAAACACGCATTTCCCCCCCCCCCCAGAATTTGCAAGGCAGTTTGCAAATCCAGCCCTCTATGATAAAGAACCGTGCATACAAAACTCAAGCGCATCAATTAAGGAGATATGGTTGCAATGGGAAGAATAAGCATTAAGATTTAAAATGTTGTTTTTTCCCCGTCTCTCCCTTCCACCCAACAAATTAATAAATAGATAATAGACCAATTTAGAAACAGCTGAAACAAACAACTGGGCAAATAAGAACAACCAATTTCGTTGTGTACATGATGTACAATAACAATAAAGGCTGTACTATACTGATAGATAGATAGATAGATAGATAGATAGATAGATAGATAGATAGATAGATAGATAGATAGATAGATA